TTCGAACTCCTTCCGCCACGCCACCACGCTTTTGAGCATGGCGAAAGCTTCCTTCACCTTGAAGTCCCTTGCCCGCAGGAACTTCAGGAGGATAGTGTCGCTCTTCTCGTCAGCAAGGAGGCGGACGCCCCAGATGGAGACCTCCTCCGGCTCCGGCGAAGCCTCCTCCACCTTTTCCGCGGCCGGCTCGGCGGCGGGTTCATCGGGCGGCGGAGCAGGGGCGGAGACCTCGTGGACGATTGTTTCTTTAATTTCCTCTGCGGCCACCGCTTTCTCTTCGGACTTCTCGGCTTTCTTCTCCGGCTCCTCCTCTTTCGCCGGCTCCGCCGCTGCTGGCGGAGTTTCCTCGCAAGCTTCGGTTTTTGGGCCGTCGTCTTCTTTCTCTTCGGTCTTAGGCTCTTCTTCTTCTTTTTTCTCCTCCACCTTCGGTTCCTCCTTTTTCTCCTCCTCCTGGACGGCGGCCGGCGGCGGTGGCGGTGGGGCGGTGAACTCGCGCTTGCTGACCGCCTCCTGGATCAGAACCTTGAATTCGTCCAGTGCCTTTTTCTCCGGGTCGATTAACTCGTCGGCTTTGTTGCTTTCCTCCTTGAAGGAAGTAAATTCAGAGATTTTAGCCTCTTTTGAAGCTCCGTCCGCCTCCTTCTCCTCCTCCGCGGATTTCTCCGCTTCCCCCGCCGCTTCCTCGACCTTCTCCGGCTCAGGTGGCGCCTTCCTTTTCTCCGTAACCGGAAAGTCGGGCACTACGGCTGCGCACGGCGCCTCTGGAGCCGTCGTCTTCTTCGTTTCTTCAGCCATGGATGTTAAAAAAGATTCGATTTATTTTTTCAAAAGAATTAATTTTGCTCAGACCCTTTAAAGCAATGGAGGCGAAAACTACTTATTTAAGATAGAGATGAATCAAAAGGGGATAAAGAATTGCAGAGCTTTTTTTGCTATATGAAGAAGATGAACAGTCTGTCAAAAACTCTGGAATTTTTTTGGTTGCCAGCTCGTTGCCATGGTGTGGGACCCATTCCTCCTTCTTCTTCGAATCGAAATTGGAATATTACAGTTATTTTATTGAATAATTTACTTATTTTTTTTTAGCTAGCCAAGCCACGGTATCCAGAGTTATGCCCCAATTAATCCGTTGGTCGACCCAGATTACACACCTGGCAGTGGTGAGTGAGTCTCCCAACAAGGGTTTTCTGCATCACAAGAACTCGAACTCGAAACCTTGCTTAAGCGACATCAAGCTGCTTAGCCAACCCATATTGGTGAATAATTTACTTATTTTGTGCTAATAAATAAATGTCCAACTTATTATTATGAGTGTGTGTTTTTCTCTTTAAAATTTGAATTATCAAAATTACCATTTCAAAATGTTCTGAATGAGGATTGTGATACTATATTTTTTATTTTTAATTACCCCTTATTTACAAGTTACAAACTAATTAAATAATAATAAATTTGAATTGAAAATAATTTTTAGGTTATATCAATAATCTGGCATTTTTGGAGCTAAATCAAATGGTTGATTCCAAATAATTTTTAATTTGTTCTGTAGTTTGCAATTTGAAATAATTGTTTAAGTTAAAAAAAAAAATCATTTTGAAAAAACTGAAAACATGAGCTTCTAAAAATTAAGAATTTGTGAAATTAATTTTTTAGAATAGAAGATTATAAAAATAGTTGTTTTTACTTATAAAAAACTAAAAAAATCTGATTATTTACCATACAATTTGCATAATCCACCGATATATTCTATAAAATTGCTAAATCATTAGTACCAAACCCACTCAACTATCACTTATTATAGCAAAAATTATCACTTTGAAATATAAAAGCAAACTAAATATGCCCACCCCGTGAATTTCATTCATAATATAGCATAATTAGCATGGTACAAGATTATTGACTAATTACGAATTTTTTCCTATCATATCAACAAATACATTGCACTCTCAAAAGTCAATACTTGCAAGTCATGCATATAGGAAATGTTGTGGTCCCGTTACGGAACCATTTCGTTAGAATTTATAACCGTTAGATCATCATGTTATTGTCGAGATAGCTGATCTAACGGTTAGAAATCCCGACGGAATAATTCTCTAACGAGACCTTAGCATCTCCGACATATAATACCATTTTTTTTTCTAAATATGATTACATCCTATGTAATACACTAATTATCACACCACATGAAGTTGGCTAATAAATATTTAGTAGTAACATATTTTAGAGACATAAATGTTAGCGTGTGATTAGGCATGGGATAAGGCTTGCTGAAATGTCTCTCAAGCCTGTCAATTTCATGATAATTATAACCTATTATAAGCTGGGATTTACGAAACCATTAAAAAAAATTATAGTTTGTAGACTTTGTAGCAATTTTTATGGTAGAATAACAACCAGGTAAACTTTATTCGGATAATTATTATTTATTATTATCATTATGTTTAATTGGTAGAATAATTCATTTTTACGTAATTGTATAAAATGGTATTAATTATTTTTTTTTTTTTGGTACAAATGGTATTAATTATTTAAATCATACGAGTGACAGTTGAGAATATCATGTGTGCTGGAACTGAGCTTAGCTCAGACTTGTAATTGGGCTCCAGCTTTTAATTTACAAACTTGAAATTTCTCATTGTTATTCAGCCCAAAACACGCTGACAAATGTTTTTTTTTTTGGAGAATTTATATCTCTGCCACACGTTTTTTTTTTAATTGCATCTATACTACTTATATAAAATATATTGCATTAATACCTAACTCTACCAAAATAATTAGTATTAGCATAAAAAAAAAAAACGGTCATATTCCCTTAATTTGTGTAACTGATGAGATTACATTTGCCATGATTTTTGGTTACCAAAATTAATAATTGTCTTTCCCCATAAATAGGACAACTGATATAATAATTGTCAAAGAGACCTTCTTAAAATCACGCACATATATGAATTCGCTGGAAAAGAAAAAAAGGTAAGTGAATATAAACTATTTTTTATGAATCTGTTGTTATTAGCATGGAAAGAAAATAATTTAAATTTTAAACGTACTCCCTCTCTCTCTCTTAAAATAAATAAAAACACGATTAAGAAAGATAAAGTATATACACGATCACCACTTATGTATATTTTAAGTATATTTTATGTATATGTGGGATATGAATGAGATCCGCAGTTCAGGAATCGAGTGTATATCTTAGGTATATTTTATGTATATGTGGGTTTTGAAATCGATTTTGATAAACGATTTAAACTCTATTGTATAATTAAAGTATATTTTATGTATATGTGTGTCTCGATCTGTCGTTGGCTTGAATTACGAGAATCTCGAGTGTATATTTCATGTATATTTTATGTATATGTGTGTTGTACAACTTTGGTATATATTTTATATACCCGCAACATATGCTCGCAACATGTAAATTTTCATATTTGATTGTAACATATATATATATATATATATATATATATGTATTATATCATGTACAAAATTTTAATGCACGAAAAAAACACCAAGTTATTCGTCGAAAAATAGATTCAGGCACACTGGTGGGGTCTCTACGCGGTCAATTTTCTTGTTCTTGGACGATTTCTTGAGAAGGGCCACAGTGGTGGGATTTTTTGGATGCTACATTACTCGGACGGAAACATATACTGAAATATACGTTATATACCTGTTACATATACAAAATCTCGGTCTGCTTGTGCGTGTGACGAACAGGGACAAAGGGCTGCTTCTTGGTCTATTCGAGGGGATTGCGTGGGTTACTTCGAGGCGTGACTCTCGGCGATGGCAGAAAAGGAGGCGTGCGATGCTGGGCTAAGGCGTGGCTGTTTGCGGTTGCTGGAGGTGGTTCGACGACTGACGGATTCGTGAAGGGTGAATTTTAGGAGAAGAGGAAAATTAAAGAGGAAGAACTATAGAAGAAGAGAAAAAATAAAATAAACGACGAAGTGTAGAAGAAGGAGAGAGAGAGAGAGAGAGAGAGAGAGATGGAAAGTGCTTGGATATTAAATCCCATTAAATTAGGTAACTAATCCCAATAAATGTGCTGGGATATTAAATCCTATTAAGTCAGTTAATGTGGTATTTGTGCAAATAAAATCACTAGATTATGCTAATATGTTAATATTTACGAAATTGTTATATTTATGTAATAAAAAAACAAAGTGATTGTACATGGTGCAATTTCCTCTTTTTTTTTTTTTGGATATTTCGGCCATAAAATATGGGCTCGCGCTAGGGTTGGCTTCATGGCCCATAATTCTATGATTAGGTTCCGAATTACTCAAAACCAACATGACATCTAAAATAAGTTAATAACCCATGTATTTAGCTAGAATGCCCATGAATCAAGTGTCTTAAACTTGGTTTCAAGTTAGTTGTTTCGGCAACTTAAGCACTGGATTTACGTTACAATAGACATGTAATAAAACGGTTAGTACTCAACGATGCGCGAGTCGTGTCATGAAAAGTTGTGAATAGATTCGATACCAGTCACAACAAGTCGAAACATTTAGATACATTTATTATAATAGTGTCGTAGTTTTTTCGTGAATAGGTAAAAACTCGAGTGCACTTCTCGTTCATCATACCGAGAATTCGTTATTAGAATGCTGCCGAAGCAGGCTTTGGTGGATTGGAGATGAAAATGTCGAGAAGCTCGTCAACTGTAGTCAATTTCAACTCGGGATAAAATGCCGAGGCCTCGACTTCATTCTCCTCGAGATCAAAGTTTATAGTCACGCCTTTTACAAAAACAGCGTGAAGAATGGAGATTGGTATGTTATGAGGACTCGGCAGAG